GATCTTCCCGGACCGGGGCACGACCCCGTGTCCCCTGCATCGGCAGGCGGACTCTCAACCACTGCGCCACCAGGGAAGCCCCTGGGATTTGTCTTTGACTCATCATTTCTCATTGGCTGGCACAGCCAGTGGATTGTCAGGTCCAGGGAGAGTTCTTATAGCCCAACTGGTGATTGTTTATAGCAACCAAAGTGGGCGTGAGTGGCGGGCAGCCTTGACAGCTGTAGGGAAGCTAAGAGAGGAAGCCTGTCTGTGTGAGCAAGTAAAGGACAGTTTGGATTTGACTAGACATGCTGAGTATGAGGTAATGAAATCACCCAGTCTTGGAGGTAAGGCAAGAATGGGTACTATTGAAAATGCATATAGGGACTTCCCTGGTGGTGCAGTGGTTAGGAATCCTCCTGCCAATGTAGGGGACACGGATTTGAGCCCTAGTCTGGGACGAACCCACATGCCGCAGAGCAACTAAGCCCGTGTGCCACAACTACTGAGCCTGTGCTCTAGGGCCCGTGAGCCACAACTACTGAGCCCACATGCCACAACTACTGCAGCCCACGTGCCTAGAGCCTGTGCTCCGCAACAAGAGAAGCCACTGCAGTGAGAAGCCCGCACATCATGACAATGAGTAGCCCCCGCTTGCCACAACTAGAGAAAGCCCACGCACAGCAACGAAGACCCAATGCAGCCAATAAATAAATAAATTAATTAATTAATTTTAAAAAAGAAAATAAAATGCATACAGCAAGCACTGAATGCTCCTCTAAGAACTTGGCTATTACATAAGTGAATCATTAATTTAACAGTATAATAATTTGATATTCATCTCCTCGAAACTTTCTGTCCTCCTCTGACACAAAATCCAAGTAAACCCATGCCTGTCTATTCACACTCACACACACACACACACACAACCTCTCCCCTGTAAGCAATTTCTGATCTGGGTTAGAGTAGACTAGATTTGCCGATCTGCGACTGACGATAGAGAGGCACAAATGGGCCACATTGTTTGATTTGTTGAGTGTGGTTAATAACTAAAGGAGACATCTCCCTTGATTATGGAAAATAACACGGGATCTTCCAGTGATCCTCAACAGGGACACTATTGCATGTGGGGCTTAGGCAGTACAGTTGTTATTGTGTGAGACTGTCCCATGAGTTGCAGGACATGTAGTGTCCTTAGTCCTTACTCACTAAATGGCTGTAGCTCCCACCCCCATCATGGTGACAATAAAAATGCCTCCACCCCACATTTCCAGATGCTCCCCCACCCGCAGGGATGGTAATGTCACCACCAGTTGGGAACCACTGTGCTTCTTCAGAATGGAAAATAACTTTTCTTTATTTGAGGGGAAGTTGACTGGCAAATGTTTATGCTGCACACCATAGGAAATGTTAATTATAACAGTGTTAATTATACCTTTTAATTATGAGGTAATATTTTCTGCATCAAAAGAGTTTATGACATAAAGTGAGATTATACTCTAGACTCCTAGGATTTTGGAGATGGAAGAATCTGAAGGGTGATCCATTTCAGACTTTGGCAATTAACTTTCGTGGCCCTTCACTGTGTCTTCCCCTGCAAACCATGTGCATTCTATAAGAGAGGAGATGCTGATGGCCCTGGGTGGGAGCTTCTTTCAGCCAGGCTACTTTGACCTAAAAATATCCCATTCTCCAGCCACTTGTGAAGTAGTTATATAGAGTCTTTAATAGGACGTATTAAGACCAGGCTTTCAGTGGGCCTGAATTGTGGAGGAAGTGGGAGGCAACACAGTGTATTGACGAGGAGCTCAAACTCTGGAGTTGGAGCGCCTGGGCTCTGTCCTTGCTCCCCCTCCTGCCAGCGGAGAGACTTGAGCAATGTTGCTTCATCAGCCTCAGGTTCCTCATCTATAAAGTGGGGAAATAATAACACCCACCTCATAAGGGTGTTGCAAGAATTAGTGGGAATCCAGGTAAAGTGCTTTGTACAATACCAGGACAGAACGTCTGATTATCATAGTGATATGGATATTATTTATAATAATAATACATATTAAGAAACGTTGGCAGCTACTTACATTTTGTAAGAACTTTACTCAGTAGTCCAGTAATGGTGTCACAAATGGCTATTTTAGCAAAGCATCATTATTTTGGGGCAGGCATGGTGGTGGACTTCATTCATCCTTAGTATAACAAAAATAAATTACTAAGAATTGTGATATAAGGCTCCAGGGTACTAGGCTTATAAAAATTGTCTTGCTAAAAGCAGGAGTCACTGGATTTCAATGCCAGGAGGTGCCATCTGGTCCAGTTCCTTTATTTGAGATAAGTCACTTCGTCAAGAATTTCTTTGTGATGGAGTGGAGAGATAGAAATAACCTAAACAATCAGAATGCATGTATATGCCTTCTCTGGGAAGGCTCCAGGCAGCACTGGCTTACCAGCCATGTGGCCAGGAGGTTGTTTTCATGGAGCAGGGAAGCTGGCCTTATTACTGATTGCATTTTATGTCCATAGAACGTGGTGAAACTGATGCGGGGTCTTCTCCAGTGCATGATGAGACAGGTAGGTGGAAAACCACAGATGTATTTTTGGGTCATCTGAGTGGGCACTTCATATTCATGGTGACAACTAACACTCTTAAAGTGTTTTGAACTTTTCTTCTCAAGATGAAGAGAAATTGAAAATAGTTTGCTTACTTTCTCCTTTTAAAATTATCTTCAGTAATTTTATTATGCTATGGAACCAGAGTCAAAGAACACTTTCTCAGAATCTCTTTTCAAGAGTTAACTTGTGTAAAAGGAGAACGTGCCCTTTTTTTTAAAAAACAGGGAAGAAAACGTTGTTTTTAAAAGCCACTCCTAGAAAGCCATGTACTGTTGTTTATTCTGTTGAGTTTATAAAAGGGTTTCTTTTGAGTTGAAATGCTTGAGTTTTTAAAACTTGACATTAATATTATTGATATTTTCAGTGAGGGGTAAATAAAACAATTTGTTGAGCATGTACTGTATACAGAACATCATACTAGGATCTACACAGATCCCAAGATAAATATGATACAGTCCCGACCCTTAATTGGCACGTGCCTCATTAGTCTTCAGAGACGACCTTGCTCTTTCCCTTTCAACATAAGGAAACAAGATTGGAAATTTAAAGAGCAAGAGGAGGTTCCTCTCCCTCCCCTCCTCCGTCCCTCTCATTGAGTTCCTACTGTGTGTCACAGCTCGTGCTGGAGATATCAGACAAGGAAAGGAAATTTAAGAGCAAGAGGAGGTTCCTCTCCCTCCCCTCCTCCGTCCCTCTCATTGAGTTCCTACTGTGTGTCACAGCTCGTGCTGGAGATATCAGACAAGGAAACCCTGCGGCTTGACCCCTCAGCCCTGCAGAACTTGTTAAAATGGCGCTGGGGTCAGACATTTCTGGTAATGGGCAGGAAGTGTCCCCCGCACAGCCTCTCTGTGTGGTGCTCACTAGTGAACATCCATCCCCTGCCTTCCATCCCACTGGCTCCCAGAGGTAACAGATAAAAGGTCTAGATCCAAGAGATTGACGTTGCCAGCCATGAACCCCTTAGTTGCGAGCAGCCGACTTGCTTTCTCAGGTGAATAAAGTGGAGAGGTTCAAGCACACTCAGAGTACCAAGGACAGCCTGCATGCCAAGTACGACACCGCCACCTGCAGCACCGTGGTGGGCGACGACCAGTGGGGCCACCTCCAGGTGGATGCCACCTCCCTCTTCCTCCTGTTTCTGGCCCAGATGACTGCCTCCGGTGAGCCAGGGCTGATTGACCTCATTGTACTGGGAGTGACAATCCAGGAGGGGGCGGGGAGGGGCAGGCATTGATCAGTATTCAAAATAAGCTATTTCTGTAAAGAAAAAGCATGCTTCTTTTTGCGTTGCATTATGTGCGCTACTCTGTGGCTCTGTTGATAGTCAGCATCCTGAACCCTTGCAGGACGAGGGCTGTTGCGCCAGCTCTGTCAGCATCTCACTGGTTGATCCCAAAGCTTCCTTGCTGTCTCTGTCGCCTAATTATTGGACCAACCTAGATCAGTTCTACATTCAACAGTTCAAATATCTGCAGACGGTGTGATGCTCCATTTTAGAGTTTTCTTCTCCAGGAGTAGCGGGCCCTTCAGCTCTTCCTCTCACTACCCTGTCACCCCCTTTAGACACACCCTCGTTTATCCAAATTATAAACAAACAACATAATTTCTAGAAGTCGGCAGTGTGCCCAGAGTTGTCTTTCAGTCCACAGCACCCATGCTGTGAGTGGGCCAAAAACTCCTGGGTGGTGAGCATTGTTCTCATTGAAGCCCGAGCTGTTGGTTTTCATGGAGGCCTGGACACCAGGCCTCCCGAGCTCCAAGCTGCTGCCCCGCTCTGTGCACCAAATAGCCTCAAGTTAGGTCACTTAGCTGCTGTGTCTCAGAGTTCTTATCTCCAGTCACCTAAATTCACGCTCCTGAGTTAGAGGCTTCCCATTTATTTCAGGTTGCAAATGTGAAACTCTAAAAATAGGATAAGTCAGTAAATAATACTGTCATGGCTTCGTGAATAAACCAGGCACTTTAAAAAATATGTTTTTGTTATGAAAGTTAACATGAGCTCACTGTAGATATTTTGGAAAATATAATGAAATACATAGAAAAAAAATCTCACTGCCAATTTTCATTTGAATGTGTCTCCTCCAAGTTTTTTTTTTCTATGCATTTTAAAAACATATTTAAGGTCATACTGTATGCATAAATATAGTCTTTTTGTTACACAGCATTATAACTTAACCATTTGCCCCCTGATATACAAGCTGTTTATAAACATAATTTTAATGACTTTATCAGTGGATATTCCATAATTAGTTTAACTATTCCTTTATTCTTTTTTTTTTTTTTTGCTATTATAACTATGTTGCAATACCAACTTTGACCCCCATCTCTGTTTGCTTCCTTCCCTTAGTTAGATATCATTCAAAGGCTACTCATACTTATTGCTAAATTGTTTTCAGAGCAGTTTACTCTGTTAACATCACTTCCCCCAGTGATGTTAAGGGTGCATATCTTACCATACCCATACCAGCTTCAAGAATTCATACTTTAAAAATACATGTTGGGGGCTTCCCTGGTGGCGCAGTGGTTAAGGATCTGCCTGCTAATGCAGGGGACACGGGTTCGAGCCCTGGTCTGGGAAGATCCCACATGCCGCGGAGCAACTAAGCCCGTGCACCACAACTACTGAGCCTGCGCTCTAGAGCCTGAGAGCCACAGCAGCTGAGCCCATGCACCTAGAGCCCATGCTCCGCAGCAAGAGAAGCCACCGCAATGAGAAGCCCGTGCACCGCAGCAAAGGGTAGCCCCTGCTCACTGCAACTAGAGAAAGCCTGCTCGCAGCAACAAAGATCCAGCTCAGCCAAAAATAAATAAATAAAATAATTAATTAGTTAATTAAAAAAAATAAAAATACATGTTGGAACTCTGCTCAATATTCTGTAGTAACCTAAATGGGAAAAGAATTTGAAAATAGATAGGTGTATATGTATAACTGAATCACTTTGCTGTACACCTGAAACTAACACAACATTGTTAATCAACTATACTCCAATATAAAATAAAAATTTAAAAAATCCAACAGGAGAACCAAAAACAAACAAACAAAACCACGTATTTGTCATAACCAGTTATACATTCAAGGACCCAAGCAAAAAACCAGCTCTCTTGGTCACTGCCTGCTTTAACACGTTGATGTAGCCGCCTGGGCAGATCCTGGGAGCTGGCCTTTCCATGAGGTGAAAAGCCATCTCCTGTAGTTGATGGCTCTACTTTCCCCATCTGCCATTGGGGAAAAGTACCCGCCCTTTGGCTCACTCAAAGATAAGACAGTGGTTGCTCTGGGCTAAAATGCTTGCTTTGTGGAATCTTCTCTGCACAAATCCAACACATACCCGAAAGCCCCACATCTTCTCTTTCGATCCTTTCTACTCCTAGGCACACACACAAAAGTGGAGCCATTCTTTCCTTCCTCCCTTCCCTCCCTCCATCCTTCCTTCCTTCCTTCCTTCCTTCCTTCCTTCCTTCCGAGATTAGACATTAACTGTTACAGTTTACTTCATACTTAATTTTTGATACCCTAGTAAGAAAAATGAAAAGGAGGGTAAAAGGATTTATTTCCTAGTGTAATATTTGTAATTTGTAATTGGCAGCTCTCTCTTCACAATATAATTACGTTAACTCCATTGTTTGTTTTTCTTTACTAGGCTTACGTATTATTTTCACTCTTGACGAGGTGGCCTTCATACAGAATCTTGTTTTTTATATAGAAGCTGCATATAAAGTCGCTGTAAGTGTCAAACCCAGTGTTTTTTTTTCAGGTGTCCCAGTGTCAAAAAGAATAAAAATCTTACAGCTCTTTGAGGGCCAGGCTGTTTGGGGGTGACCAGAAGTTAGCAAGATCAGAGCTATAAGATTACGTCACCTCGGCACACAAAGTGCACGTTTCTGTCCAGGAGCTCAGTTGGGGAGCTTTTGTTTTTGGAATGTGCCATATGCTCTGTTTGAATCCATCACGCTTATTTTAAATAAGACTCTAAAATGTCCTGTGGCACGTCCACAGGCCAGCCTGAATCAGGATGAAGGGCAACACCGCAGGAGCTGCGGTGCCGTGGGGATCACCCCAGGCAGCCCACAGGTAGAGAGGCTGGAGCCAGATGTGTGCCCTGGGCCAGGTGTGTGCGGGTGTAAATATGTAGAAACTCAGTTCCTCCAGGCTTTTGTCTGCTACAGAGAGTGGAGCCTGACACTTGTAGAGAACAGCTAAACTGCAAAGCTGACCATAAGAGCAGTAAGGAAAGGGTAGAGTTTTGTTTTGTTTTGTTTTGTTTTTAAAGCCATTAAAGCAAGGATCAGCAAACTTTTTCTGTAAAGGGCCAGAGAGTAAATTTTTTCAGCTCTGCAGTCTCTGTTGCTGCTACTCAACTCTGCCGTTGTACCACAGAAGCAGCCATAGGCAACTCGTGAACTCGTGAACGTGGCTGTGTCCCAAATAGACTTTATTTACAAAAAACAGGTGGCAAACTGTTTTGGTCCAAGGGCCATAGTTTGCTGACCCCAGGTCTAAAGCGGCGATTCTCAACCAGGGGCAGTCTTCCCCTCCCAGGGGACATTTGGCAATGTCTGGAGACGTTTTTTGGCTGTCACTCTGGGGAGAGTGCTACTGACATCCAGTGGGTAGAGGCCAGCGATTCTGCTGAACATACTACAGTGCACAGGACAGCTCCACACGACAGAGAATGATCAAGCTCCAAATGTCAGTGGTGCTGAGGTTGACAAACCCTGGTCTAAAGAAACTTGGGAAGTCTTTGTGGAAAGGGTGGGACTTTAGTTGGACCTTGGTGGATGAGTAGGGTTTAGATTGGCAGAAGGGAGGGAAAAGGGTGTGGGAGTAGCAGGAACAGTAACAGAGGCAGGAACAGGCTGTGAGCATGGGAACAGCTTGGGGAAAGGGGGTGCAGAGTGAAGGAGTATTCTTAGGGTGAAAGCTGAGTACTTAAGAATAGGAGAAAGTAAAGTCACCTTGTGGATGTGCAGGAGGTGGGGCTGGATAATAGAGGTATGGCCATACAGAGAGAGAGATTTGAACGTGATCCACTAGGGAATAAACAGGTCGTCATTTTAGACTCCTATGCTGGAGAGTGAGCTGATCAAAGCAGTTTTTAAGGATGAGTCACTCACTTGGCTCCAAAGTTGGAGTGAGGGCAGGTTGGAGCGGAAAGGCCCAGCTGTGAGGAGTACTGAAGGGAAGGGGTCCTGGGGCTCAGCGACAAGGCCTGCTTGGCAGGGAAGAGTCTGAAGTCACTCTCGTGTGTCTAAGTCTAAAATTTCTCATTTTGAAAATGTTCATCTTTCTCTATAATAATAAATGCCGAAATTTTGGCATTGATCCTGTTCTTCTTGGCTTGCAGCCTTTCAGTAGTGCATATAGCATTATTTCAAAACGGTATCCAGTGCTTGGGTTTCTTCAGTGAAAAATATAAACTATAAAAGTTAGGTATGCATGTATCAAGTCCTCTATGTGGACGGGCTGTTCTAAGCCAGTTCCTATTAATTTGTTTCAAAATACCAGGAAAGTTCAGTATTCTGAGCCTCAGTTTTGACTTTGGCTCCTTTTAGTTGCTGAGCATTTTTTTCCCAAGAGAAAATGTTAAAAATAGGTATTAAATTATTTTAAATGGTTTGGTTGGCTTCACCTAGTTATAACCCATTTGATAAAGTTTCTTTATTCCATCTTACAATTTAATACAAGTTCAAACGTGTTAGATAAGTAAAGGGCAGCCTTTTATTTTAAGATAAAATGTTCTGGTCTCTACAAATCAAGAGTTTCTTATAAATTACTAACTTTAGAAATAAGAAAATTGAGAATGTCTTTGTATGCATTTTTGTTCCACTTGAGTATTTACTTCCAAAAGTCTACCCAGAGGTCAAATGAACTGAAATCGAGAAAGAACACAGCTCGAATATGTAAAGCCATGAATTTAGTAGCCTTCGAGAAGAGATATTCATGTTTCTTTATGCCTGCAGTAACATGAACGAATCATTTTTCCATAGCACTTTTCATAGACCTTTTTCCCTTTTTCTCCCGCAGGATTATGGAATGTGGGAACGTGGAGATAAGACCAATCAGGGCATTCCAGAACTGAATGCAAGCTCTGTAGGAATGGCCAAGGTGACAGTCTCGTCCTGTTTGTTCTTCCTTCTGTGCGTCTTTAACTGCTTTGGTTTGGTTCTCATCGTTAGGGGTTTGGATTTGATCTGATTAGCATATTTTTCAAAAGTCAGCAGCAAGTATGGAATTCAAGTGGCACATGTACCCCAGCCAACTGAAATTATAGGTAAAAAAATGTAGGTTTCTTACACCGAAATCTGCATGTACCTGAAAATAAGTGCATTCCCTCCTTACTATCCATTGTTATCACCCACACATCTAAGCTCTTGCTGTTGTCGAAGAAGCTGGATGTATGATGTCCAGTCTTCTTTTCTGGGTCATAAAGGGGGCTGAAGAATATGACCACTTTGTAGGACAGGGCTCACAAGTTTAAAAGTCTACAGGGTCAGGTCAGGTGAGTAATATAAACAAGTGAAGCCGGCCAGATAGAAAAATATCAGGGGGTATTGAGGACGCTGCAAACTTTCTCTATAGGTATTCTAATTCAAAATCATTTTAAAAACTTCCTCAGGCCAAACAAAACATGCCTGTAGGGCAGATTCAGCCCGCTGGCCACCAGTTGACATGTCTTGCCCTAGACATTTAGCACGCCTCCTCCCTCCCCTCTTCCTCAAGACTGAAGCATAATTTTAGATAGAATAAAGACTCCAGAACTAGAATTTTTAAAGCAATGATAAATTTGCTCTGTTACGGTCAACTGACAGAAAACATACTTAATACTAAAAAAAGTTAACATTTTTAAGTGCCAAATATGCTAATGTTAGAAGTCAACCGCTAAAATAGGTCAAAGAAAAGCCGCCCATGAATTTAGCCCTCCGCCCCTTACACACACAAAACTGTGTTGTTAATGTTTCATTATTGGGTAGAATAGTAATTTCATTTTGGGAAATGGTTCTCTATTTTCTCTTTCTTGTTCTTGCAGTGAGCAGCAAAACACAGGAAAGCTCTTATCCACTGAAAATAAGGATAGAACACGAGTATAAGACACTTTAGTGGATTTTAAAGATTTGTTTTATCACGTTTGGGAAAACGTATATGCTAGATTGCTTAATGAAAAAGGGGTGCCAGATATGGGAGTGTATGTGTACTAGCAAGAAAAAGTAATTCGTACCTCTGCTTGTAGGCAGCCCTAGAGGCAATTGACGAACTGGACCTTTTTGGAGCCCATGGAGGTCGCAAGTCCGTGATCCATGTTCTGCCCGATGAGGTCGAACACTGCCAGGTAATGGCTCAAGGCTCTCACGTTCCAGAGAGTAGGGA